CATCAAGAATTCTTACGATCTTTATATATTTAAAAATTACCGTATAATTTACTTTGCTAGACACATTTTTATTGATACTATGATAATGTAATATAAATGATAATGTAATATAAATGATATAATATGATGATAATATGATGTTATGATATTGTGATAACAAAAGTGACTATCTTTTGCATCAAATCTTTTGATTATAATAGAACTTCATTTATATAAAATTTAAATAATTGTTTTAAATTAAATGGATTTAAATTATAAATTTTTAGCTTATATAATAAGAATTCATCAATCCTTGTTTATATTTGCTCCATTGTTCAAAATGAAATAAATGAATTCAATCGGCGAGAGATTATTAATTAATGGAATTATAAGTAAAATTATATTATATCCGTAGAAATATAACCGAATGTTCCACTGTTTTTTTGCATCTGAGTATCATTATACTATTGAAATGTTTTTTTGAAACTTTTGAAATCTTTAAAATTAAAAATCTATCGCAATTAAAAATTATTTTGTTAATACAAGCCTAAACGTAATACACCCATCAGTAATTCTACGCATCCAGCAAGAAAACAAAAAAGCACAACAAAATCCACTGACATATTTCTCGTATATTCCAAGGTTAAAAGTGACATCAAAGATGAAGGACCAATCGATACTTCTTTAATTGTTCCGAAAAAAAGGTAGAGAAAATTGCCCATTAAGCACGAATAAAGACCATACTGCAAAAAATTTAATGTTTCAATATTTATATCTAATTTAACATAAATATAACATAAATTATAAATAACATATAATATAACATATAATAAATCTTAATCAGTATAACTAATTAGCATATTTCTATTTATATAATAAAATAATTTTTTTCCTATATTTTTGTTTTTTTTTTAGAAAACATTTTGTAATATATAGACATTTTGTTTAATACAGAAACATAAAATAAAATATACATATGTAATATACATATGCGCAAATTGAACATATGTACATATATATATATATATATATTGAAAGAAATTTTATTTTATAATTAAAAATTTTGATTTAAAAACTTATCAATAATGTTTTTAATATATCTTTTTAAATATCTTTGATTATTTTTTTAGATTTTTTTGTATAAATAATTTTTAATTATAGAATATTATTCTAAATTAATTTATTTTTCTTTTGTATATATATATAAATTTGTATATATGAATGTATTTAAAATTATATACTTTTGATTAGATATAAAATAATAAATAATAATATAATATAATAATATAAAATAATATAATAAATAATAAATAATATAATAATATAAAATAATATAATATAATAAATAATAAATAATATATAATAAATAAATAAAGTCAAAATTATCTGTAAAATCTCAAAATATTAAAAAGAAAACGTCAGATTTGTTAAACTTTCATATAGAAATATAAAAAGAAAAAGATAAATTAATTATAGAAAAATTATGTAATTATAATAAATTATAAAAAATCATAAA